CTTGCTACGAGTGTTGCCAGGAGTTTCACTGAATCGAGTTCGTTAAATTTTCAGTGATATGTGTATATTGTGAAAGAATATAGAGACGCGGAGGGTCGATAGCATTGGTCCAGTCGGTTCGTGTTTCAAACTTTTGGCAGTCGGTTTCGGGGTTTCCAACGAACTTTCCAGTTGATTTATGTATCCCAAATGAGTTGGTCTCTGTATGTTTCTATCGAGACTCGTGTACGGGATAAATACAGCTTCACGCTAGACGAACGTGTTGCGAAATTTAGATGTATTATAGTAAACACGTGACGGAAGTAAGATTAATATCTTCTACGAAGAGAATTAATAAACCTCGTCGTTTATACATTTGCTTCGACTTAATCTACTTGAATTCGAGACGAAGTATCTGCAATTAATTGCAGATCATCTTAAGGTACCAGAGATTTATCAATTTATTATACGACACGAGATTTTTCTTTAATTATTATGGAATGTAATTTATTTGAATTTAATTTAAAAATTAGTAAATTAAAATTAATTTTCGTTTATGCACTTGTGGTCGAAAATCGATTAAGATTGTTTATAATAACCAGGACTCGTGCTTTTGCAAAATTTTCCAGAATTTCTTTTTTATTGTATCGTAAGGTTTGTCATTTATTTTTATTTTATTTTTGTTTCATCGATATGACTCACGAACTGTGATATTTTAATCATTATTAAAATTCTTTAATACACTGATTCGGTGTTATATTATATACATGTATACAGACTCGTTATAGTTCAACCAATCAGTGATTTAATTGCCCTCCAAACGATTTACAACAAAAATCCCCTTAAATCTTTCTCGCAATTAATCAATGATTTAATTATTGTACATTCCAAGTGATCTGTATCAAAAATTTCGTCGACGTGACTCAAATCCAAATTTCTCTAATCCTCTCAGAATTCTTTTCCCAATTCTAAATTTTCTTTCAAGAGTGCAATTAATCAGTTCATATAATCACTTTCCAAATTTCTAACAAAAGTTTCAAATTCCAGAAAATTTGATTGAAATATCCACAAAGTCCTTCCCAAAAATCTACCATTTTTAACGAATCGATGATTAAACCCTTTGCACTCGACGATTTTTTTGCTAAAGAGTAGGAATTTCAAGATTTTCTATTATAACGTTGACGACATTTTCTTGAGCAGTAAATAAGAAATAGTATAATATTTGACACGTAGAATTATTTGATCTTAATATTTCGCACAACGTTATATTATCTTAAATTTCACATATTAATTATTTTTGTTCTTCCAAATTTTATCGAATGACGACTGAAGGGTACCTTTCGAGTGCAAAGGGTTAATTAAAAATTCATACAGAAAAAATTTCGTTAATTCGATATTATTATTATATTTATTATATTATTATATTATTATTATATTTATTATATTATCATATTATTATTATATTTATTATATTATTATATTACTATTATATTTATTATATTATTATATTATTATTATATTTATTATATTATTATATTATTATATTCATATTATTATTATATTATACGATCCTATTATTCTTTCCTAATTTTGTCAGCTCATCAACCCCATTCTTGCCCCGCAACACACCTCTTCCATTAAAACACCACTCCCAGTCCTAACTCGCTGTCCAAGAGCAAAACCTGCCTGATAGATCGATTAATTCCCGATTTCGATCGCGAGCAGCTCGATCGAGTCGCTTTATCGCGAGATAGATTATCGTATCGGCTAGTTTGATTACCGATTCAACTGCTAGTCCTCTGCCAGTCGCCGAAACCGTTCCCGTGTTAGCGAAGTCGCCGGAGTTGGTTACGAAGTTTCGTGCAAGTTAAGATTAGTTAAGATAGCGCCATCGTGGTTCCCTAGACTCTCTAAGGTGCTCCATCTGTTCACCTTTTCACCCTTACCGCCGTCATCATTCCCATTTTTCCCTGGAATTTACTACTCGCGTCTGTCCTGTCCCCGAAATGCTAATATCGAGGCAATAATTGGCAAATCTGACCTCGAGACAGTAATTTAGAGCTCTGGGAAGAGGAGAATTTGTGAGATCATCTGAACAGGTGAGTTTTGAGAATTTAATTTGTGGTAGAACAGGTACGATCGTGATTAATTATGTTAATACGATATAGCAAATTTAATTAAAATTTTAAGTAACTCAACATAGAGATTAAATTAATTAAAAATAAGATTAGGAAATTGGGATTAGTCACTTTGAAGTATAATTAGTATTGTGGGACAATACTAAAAATGTCCCACTATGCATTACTGTGCATGGAAAAGGTGGGATACTTTTAATTTCAGCGTGCCCCAAAGAGTTAATGAGTAAAATAATAAATGTATGGATGTCAATATTGTCAAAGATGGAGTCAGGAGTGAAAAGTATCCCTTATACTTCTTTCATCTAGATTGCTAACTTGGTAGACGAGTGCAATAGGTTCATCCGTGTTCTCAGGCTAGAGGTTTCGATGCTGGTTACGTGCACCTTCGGAAAATTACACGAGTGAAACTTACATTAGCCACGTCTGAACAAGTAGAATGGGATCGGTGGAACTTAAAAGCGACCACAAGACGGTTAGTAGAAACAGTCGATTATAGTCAGCCGAGGAAACTGCTGAAGACAGGTCCCTGGTGTGCTCTTGCGCGCCTTATTTTGGTTACTCGATATAGTGGCTGAATTATGGTTATCGTACGAAAATATTAAGGATTTAATTGAAATTTCATCGATTTTGATTTTTTAATCGCGTGTGTTTTATTTTGGCACAGTTTCGTGGTAGTAGTCTGGTTGTAGGGGAAAAATGGAGTTGGTAGCTTGTTGGAAGTATTTATTTTAATTGCGGTGTATTTTGTAATGTACATTTACAATGGAATATTAATGTATTTTCAGTATATTATTTTTTAGTTTGTTCTGTATATAAATAATATTCTATATAATATTCCAATAATAATATAATATAGGTATTAATAATATTATGTATATTATTTTTATTTTATATGTTAAGCTAAAAGTTAATGGTTCTAGTGTGTTAAATTATTGAAAATAATTGCTGTGTATCTTATCACGTATATTTACAATGAAATATTAATGTATTTTATAGTGTACATTTATAATGAAATGAAATATTGGAATCAGAATGTAAGCAGTGAGAAGTTAGAGATAGAAAGGTAATTGTTGTAACAATCTAGTTATTTTTGATGTATCACTTTAATTACTGTTGCTTTTGCATATTACTTTTTAGTTTATTGCGTATATAAATAATATTCTGTATAATATTCCAATAATAATATAATATAAGTAATAATGATGTTCTGTATATTATTTTTATTTTATATGTTAGACTAAAGGTTAATGGTTCTAGTGTATTAAATTATTGAAAATAATTGCTGTGTATTTTACAGTGTGTATTTATAATGGAATATTAATGTACTTTATAGTGTAAATTTATAATGGAATAGAATATTGCAATTAGATGGTTCTAGTGTGTTAAATTATTGAAAATAATTGCTGTGTATTTTACAATGTGTATTTATAATGGAATATTAATGTACTTTATAGTGTATATTTATAATGGAACGGAATATTGGAATTAGAATATGAGCAGTGAGAAGTTAGAGATAGAAGGGTAATTGTTATAACAATCTAATTATTTCTATTGTATCACTTTAATTATTGTTATTTCTGAATATTATTTTTTAGTTTGTTCTGTATATAAATAATATTCAGTATAATATTCCAATAATAATATAATATAAGTAATAATAATATTCTGTATATTATTTTTATTTTATATGTTAGGCTAAAGGTTAATGGTTCTAGTGTGTTAAATTATTGAAAATAATTGCTGTGTATTTTATAGCGTGTATTTATAATGGAATATTAATGTATTTTATAGTGTATATTTATAATAGAATGAAATATTGGAATTAGAATGTGAGTAGTGAGAAGTTAGAGATAGAAAGGTAATTGTTGTATCACATTAATTACTGTTGCTTCTGTATATTATTTTTTAATTTATTCTCTATATAAATAATATTCTGTATAATATTCCAATAATAATATAATATAAGTAATAATAATACTCTGTATATTACTTTTATCTTACATGTTAGGCTAAAGGCTAATGGTTCTAGTGTGTTAAGTTATTGAAAATGAACGGCGGTGAGGCACATCTATCCTCCAGAATTGCACTCGCGATACAAAATATATTCTAAACCGCTAGGTCTGTTAAACGTGTAAGCCTTAGAATAAAAATCATGTTATAAACACGTCAGAGAGTATCAAAGTATGCCAGAGTCAGTCTTAGAGGTTTGAGAGACAGCGAGTTGAGAGTCAGCCGAGAGTTATTAGCACTTAGAATAAATTTTAGTTTAAAATAAATCATTTTTATATTTACGTCACTGCTTATTCCGTTACCTACCCAACATTCCAACATAATCTTCTGTTCATACTCTTCAGCATACTCGAGCGTTCAGCATCTGGTGCTCACTCGCTGCCGCCTGGGCGGAAAGTATAGCAAAATCGGCGTCATATTTAACATGTTAAACGAACGTGTAAAGCGTGAAGTCGATTGGCAGTGCGTGCAAAATGGAAACGTTTGACCGCGACAGCCGCGAGTGGTTCTAGCAGCGGCTGGTACTAATTAAAATTCATAGAAGTTGTCAGCGCGCGACAACTACCGTGATGGTTCAGCCGGCATTACGATAAAAATGTCCATCCAATTACGCGTAATTTATCACAGGCACACGCGGAAATGTCCATTTTCAATCAGTCACGTCGCGCCGAGATCTCGCTGGGAAACTCTTCTTTCCATCTGCCCGCCACGCGGATGATCTAAACGCGTTGTATCGGCCATTTAACGAAGGCACTATTAGCCCAAGGTTCCCTACTGATTATTGTTCATCAGTAGAAGGAATCACGAACGTTTCCAAAGCCTATAAAAGATAGGATACAGGCCGGTCAGACCGTCAGTATTTTATAGACCTTCGGTACCACAGGCTCGTCCATTTTATCCATCTCGATAGACTCGGTGGTGTACAGGTGCTTCCAACGGCATGTCCTCGAGTTTCCCTCGCATAAATGAATTTTCCAAGTCGACCAGCATCGCGTGAAGTTCGTCCAGGGATCCTTTGAACGTACGTGCTTCCCTGGCTTCCTTGTGAATTACTTTTCCCATTTTACCTTCTTCCGTACGTATAAATTTCGATCGGAATATTGTAACACTTGACTGGAATTGTGTTTCCAGGAACAGGGGGCGTGTGTCAGGTCACAGATATATTGGAAACTTACAACTATCACGGTGAGTGCTTGTCTCTTCATCGGGATATCGATTACTTGTAATATTTATTTGGCAATTCTCATACAGCTTATTTTTCCGAAAAATGCGACTCTTCCTAAGAACGCACGATATACAATTGGGTGAGAGTATCCCAAATTTATCGATGTCCAATTACACTAGGAAGCTTGGGGAAATATCACGTAATTTTTAAATTGAGAATAAATAATTTAACGTGCTTATTTTTCATATAACACTTCATTTTACCTCAAAATCGTGCGTTTCTAGAGAACCCACATGTTTCGGAAATTGTGGGTGACAGTGTTCAGGAAAGTGAACTCTACATGAATCACATAATGGATATTTCAGATTAGAGGAAAAATTAAAATTTATTGAACAGCAAACATTTATTAACGTTGACTACGAATTAATTGTTAATTTAATGTCAAATGATCCTTTTCAAAATTTATTTTATAATTGCACATTTATTGTTATTACTTTGGCTCATCTGACTTTCTGTAAATTCTTTTATTATTTGATTGTTTAATTTCTCGCTTTCCGTCCCTTTGTCAACTTATTTTTTACCGAGAAAAATTCTTTGCATACCATATGTACCACGAGGTGTCATTTGACCACTTATGGTAAGAATAGATACGTGTAAAGTACGTTCTGCAGTACGCTTAGTGTTAAGAATATCGTGAATGAGAATATTAGAATAACTGGAATAGGGTATAATATAATAAGTTATGGGAAATATTGTTTTTAGTAAGACGATAATATTAATTGTTAATAATAAAATAATAGAAAGCATGATAAGTTGGTAATGACATATTGGCACAATTTCAAGCGCAGTAGTAATAAATAATTGGAGTAACTTACAATTAGTGAAATCGAGGAAATACGTGGAAAATATTAAACGGAGGATGATATGATATTTTTGTGAGCATTTCTCCAACTCGGTTTACAATGTTCTTGAATCACACATGACGCAAGCAAAAAATAGCAAATATTGGCAGTGCTCTCTTGGAATATTGATTTTACGCTGAAAAATAGCGTGGAAAGCTTCATAAACCTGTTTTTAAAATATTTTCACTGCACGATCGATATTTCGCTTCGCATACGTGTTCAGAATGCGTGCCCTAAATGGCCTGTATTTGATTATTGCTATACGACCACTGAATTGGTACGAATAGGTACGGTACTGAGGGAACGCGAGGAGTGTTTGGGACATAGTTATAAAGTAGCATCAATGCATGGAAGAACATTGTATTTTTTGACTATTTGTAGCAGAGAAAGTTCAGGTATGTTCTTAAAGGTATAGGGATGCATGACACTATGGGGTTGGAAGTGGACATGAAAAATGATTATGCGAGGAGTGTTTGGGACATAGTTATAAAGTAGCATCAATGCATGGAAGAACATTGTATTTTTTAACACATGAATGACATATGCAAGAGGAACGACTATTTGTAGCAGAGAAAGTTCAGGTATGTTCTTAAAGGTATAGGGGTGCATGACACTATGGGTTTGGAAGTGGACATGGAAAATGATTGACGGGGTAATTTTGGGTGAACGTGACAAAACGAATCGAATGAGAACGTTTAGAATTGGAACGAAAGAGAATGAATGCACGAGGGGATGAATTTTTGAGTAACAGTCCTGGGAGCAAGAGAGTTAGTTCAGTTAGGGTCTAGGAGCCCACTCGGAGTTTAATGAGAGATCTCAGTCGAGTAGAATTGCAGTGGTCGCCTTGCACCTATCACCATAGGGATTCGAGGAGGTTCGAGGTTTCTCAAAAGTACTCAATCGTGTTGTAGTAAAATTAAATAATAAAGTAAACTCTACATCCTAGCGATGTGGGGGCGATCCCACCCCCTGTGTTTTGTCTATTGTCTCCTGTTTTCTGGAGACGTCCTGTGACCTGCGTGGCCCTAAACAGGCCAGTTTTAATCGTTCGTTTAATGTCTACACAATTTTTCCACTTCTTTCCACTGACTACTAATCAAATAAATTACTAACGAATAATATTATCATAAATAGAGCTTATTCGATTTTATCTTCTAGTAGATTCGAATTCCTTCAACGTGTATTAGATGCATTTGCGAGCAACGTTAGTACTTCTTCACAGACTCCAGCAATCAAATAGCAGTCTCTTTCATCACAAATCATAGGCATATTACAAAGCATCTTCCGCCATTTTTGGAGACAGTAAGATGGAAACTCGTATCCTGGAATGGGTCATTTAATTATCCATCCGCGAGTAATTTAATAATTTTCCACGAAAAAGTGCTACAAGTCCGAATGATATGACACGTGCATGTAAATAATGCAACGATTTTCTTCTCCTGGCGACATAAAATACCGATTAATTTGCAGAACCTAACCTGAGCGTCCACTTGATTCGAATTCCCGCGATTCCCACGATCTTCGCGCCGCGTGGAACAAAATCCCACGAAACTAACGAAAAACCGAGTGAAATCCAACGTTTCATACAGGGGAATAAGCGTCGCACAGGTCTGTCCGGTTTCTTGTTCGCGGATTTATCGTTAGCTTGGCGATGGCGTGGTCTCGCGACGAGTCGCTTTTTGCAATTATACGACGGAATTAACGATACCGGGGAAGGCGCACGGCCGGCGTAGTAACAGGACGGGGGAGGAAAAAAGTGGATTTCCGGTTTTAATGGGAACCGGACGACCGGCTGGAAAGCCAGTCTCCGTCCGGAAATGGTTTTAACGAGGTGGTTCGAAAAGCGGGCAGGACACGTCAGAGCGCGAAGAATCGCGTGCAAAAACGGCGTGTACACGGGTCCGTGAACGAGCCTGTCCCCCTTGGGGCGGCCAGGGGCGGCTAGCCACCCCCGAATCGGTCGGCTGATGGACTTTCCGTCGAAATTGTTACGTGTCGAAGCGTCGTACTCTGCAGCTATACTGGGTGGCGAAAATGTGTAATGGCTAAATGTGTAATGTCTTGGATCCCTTCTTTTTCCTGGTTTTCTCGTGGAAGACAAGAGAATAGAAGTGTAATAGAGACTAGATTATTGGGAAGTCTATTGGGGGTGGGTTTGAAATTAATTTTTCAATTTTTAAAACTGGAATATGAATAAATTGGTAATTTTTGTATGGGGTGGTCAAAATTTAAGTGCTTAGGATTTTTAGGGTTTGGTTACGAATATATAGTATTTATTATAGAGTTTATAATTTTATTATATTTCATATTTATATTTTTGCGAATAGAAATAAAATAGAGTCAAAACTATGGGAATCAAATTTATTGTGAATGGGTTTGAATTTAATTTCTGAGCTTCTCAAGTTCGGATATGGAGAAGTTAACAATTTCTGTATAGGGTGGTAAAAATTGCAATATCTGAGATTTTTTAAAATTCCCAACGAGACTTAACAAAAGTTCTATCTTTAATTCTATATTATAATATTTCTATTACTTCAATTTTTATTCCATATTATTTATAATTCTATATTATTTCTAGCTCTAATTTTTATCAACTACGTAAATAATAAAACTCGAGTCCGCATAGGCGTAGGACCATGAAAATCTTCAAGCACCGTTTCCCAGCGCCCTGGACTGGTTCGTTCGGACACGCGGTAGATTTCCGGTTATCCTAACGAATTGTAATGCATTCAAATTTCTTTCTTTGCCTCATAGGAGGTATCGCGTGACTTGTTTTCAGCTGCGAAAGCGAGAGAACGGTTTTTCATAAAAATCTCAGCCCCGTATCGCGAGCGCAGATCTGTCGACTGCAGCGGGATTAAAACGCTTTTGGAGTTTGTTTCGTTTGCCCGATTTCGACGTGATACGTGCTTTGAGGCGTAAGTTAGATGTTGGTGAATAGAACTAGATAAAGGGGGATAGAAACAATGGAAGGAAAACCCCGTTGTACGTGATAATCGAACGGAATACACGTCTAGCATGTTGATGGGACATATATCAAAGAAAAATATAGCAAAATTGGAAATAATATATCGCTCTCTTTGTCCTCTATCTTTTAATCGAAATGTTGTCAAAATATTCTCTTCGATGTACTATTGTATCCATGTAAATTCCAAATCCATATGGATTGCTCGATCGTAACGACACATAGACGTATGGTGGATCGAAGGAGAATCATCTAAAATATTTTTTCAATATTTCTCATTGTATTCTCATATTAGAATTATAATAGAATAGATTTGCAATAAATATAGTATATATTGACAGTGCTGATTAACTAATTGCTAACAATTAACTCGCATTACACTGACGTTTACACGAGTTCTCCATGTACAGCTTCATAGATTTCAAAATCTTGGGCCATTTTTCAAACATCAAAATGAAAAATTGGAGATTAAATATTTTGATTAATTTACTTGCCCTGATGTTAATACTATTTCCTATTAAAAATTTCATTGACTCCAAATTGCACAAATTCTAATACACTTTCAAAACAAACAAGTTACACTGACCATGTCCTACTTCAATTATACTTATTTTAATGCGAGTAAAAATCATATATAGATCTCAAAATTTTTGACTATTTTTCAAACACCAAAATGAAAAATTGGAGACCAGTCATTTTGATTAATTTACTTACCCCGATATCAATACTATTTCTTATTAAAAATCTCATTAATCCTAAATCGCACAAATTCTAATACACTTTCAAAACAAACAAGTTACACTGACCATGTCCAACTTCAATTATACTTATTTTAACGCGAGTAAAAATCATATATAGATCTCAAAATTTTCGACTATTTTTCAAATACCAAAATGAAAAATTAGAAACCAGTCATTTTCATTAATTTACTTACCCTGATATCAATAATATTTCTTATTATCTATTAATATTTTTCCTAAATTTATTTTTAAATTATTATTTTTCCTAAATTAACCCTAAGTCGCATAAAGTGTAATACACTTTCAAAACAAACAAGAAGATCAATTAACGAACCAATTAAAGCACAACGAAAAGAAAAAGGAGAGAAAAGAAATAGAAATAAAAAATCGAGGTGAAACGAAGAGCAAGAGCA